GGGTGAGTGGGTGTGTGGTTTGGCCCCCAGCCAAGGGCAAACCCATCACACTCCCAAACATAAAAGCACCCATACCAAGTTAGACCAAACATCCATTTTAACATTTAGCCTGGCTCCAAAAGTGAGCACATCTTCAAGAATAAAAATGGGGCAAATATATACTACTTTTCCAATGACTTTCATGGATTTTTCTGAACCAGATCCCATTTTGTATGTATGTATTCTGCATTTATATTTTTTAATATATCCACCCTCAGTGGGTTTCTCACTCTTTGAACCCATGAGAAACTTTAGTATCTACAGCAACATTTGGCAAACTGTTACTCAGCTGCAGTACCCACTGCATCAAAGTATAAACCCTGTTCTTCCCTCAGGAGACATCTCCCTCCATCTCTTTTTTTTTTTTGCACAAAAGCATGACTGTCACTGACTTCTATGTTATTTTTGAAAAATGCTTTTCTTACACGTGCTGGAAGATGCACCTTCTGGGGAAAATGAAAGAGTATTAATATTTAAGTAAGAAAACTGTATTATAGCCTCTAAACACTCATGAACAAGTTTCAAAACACATCAGCTATGCATTCACAACTAGGCATGGTACAAAGACCAGAAGAAAATGAATTTTTAACACAAACTTTAATTCTTGAACACAAATTTGTACCATTTCAGTTTTATTTTACATTAATCTGGTACAATACAAAGGACTCTAAAAATGAATTTGTTTATTCCCTGATATTGAAATAATACATAAACTTTTAAACTGTAGAAGAAATCTATCAGATAAAAAAATACATTATATGCGCCCAAATAATTTACAGAAGTGAATTTAAGACTCCTACCCATTAAATACCATCTTAAAGAATGCACACAAAAGTCTTCCTGCATTAAAGTTTGTTTCCACATAACCATCATTTTTTAAAGCTTTTGATACTGACTTTTTAATTCATACTAACACATTGGAGGAACAAAAGGCTCCTTTGTGTACAGCTTTCTGGATATGAAAAAAATGAAGACGAGAAAAAGAGAACATTCTATACAAAATCCACCTGGTTTTGGCAATTTTGAAGATTTTTAAACACATTCATATTACAATTATTTGTAAGCTAATTCATGAATTAGATGAACACTAACTTAAGTAGGCAATTCTAAAATTAAACTACTCCAGGAATTTCCAGGAAGCTGAAGCACTCCCAGCATTTTCATATATTAGAAACAACAATGGAAACAAAAGGAGAAGTTGCCCTCCATGGCAGAGTTTTTGCTTTTACAGCACCACCCTCCATCTGCAACCAGCTGACACTTTTATTTCACACTACAGCATGTTCTCTTTCTGTATTTCACCTGCAGTGGGCTTCTACAAGACTAATATTTCTTACACCGAAAGAGGCATTTTTTTAGAGGAGACAGGAAGCATATTCAAGAGAAGGCGACTGCTCCCAAGGAGTAGAAAACTGAAATGGGACAGGAGGTGCTGCTGGGAGAAGATGCCATAAGACTGGCGAACACCACGGAGGATGACAGGGCCAGGGAATACACCTGCAGTGAGAAGCCGATTGGCCAGACCATGCAGTTAGTAAAAGCAAAAGAAAAATGCCAACGAGTGGAGGCCATGCCACAAATTCACTCAGCCCATTAGCAATTAGCATGGGACCAGTGCCAAAACATGGCTGAAGTGGTGGCTCCCTGAGATGTCCAGGGTTTTCTCAAAGAAGCTTCCTACCACCTACATAGCCTGTACTTCTCCCAGATTTCCAGTGCATAGGTGCACTCACCCAGGAACATCTGAGTAGCAGCAGGTGGTACTTAAGAAGAATGTAGACATTAATGGCGGTGGAATTAGAAGTGGAGGGGAGAGAGAATCAGGTGCTCAGTGAAAGCACAGCGAGATGGTTCCCGCATTGATCGAATAGGCAGGCACCATTCAGTATTAACCCAGAAGGACTCCCAGTCATTCCCATTTACTGTACATAATAGGAAACGGGTGTTAGTAGCAAATGGATGGAACACACAGAAAGAACAGCTGAACTGTGAGATTGTTTGTGTACTGATTTAATTATAACAGCAGTCTGAAGAGAAACCTTTCCCACTCTATAAGAAAGTACATTAACCACCCCAAATATAATCGTACGGAAGTCAAATGGGCATCAGGAAGAGAAAAACTATGACAAAGATTGTACTATAAAGTTTTGTAATGATTAAATTTTTTTTTAAACTTTGAAAGCAGAACCAAGGTTTCACATCCTATTAACAGATGTGCGAACTACAACACACCCCGTTCCAGTTATATTTCATAGACTCTAACCCTAGTGATGAATCATGCAAGAGTTATCATGCATCATTAAAAGAACTTTTGCTTTCCTTCTCCCTCTTTTAAGTCATGTACACACATATATGAAGAATGTTAAGGTTGAAAGGTGAACACATTCAACATGCAGAGGACATACTTAAGTGCTAGAAAGTCCCTAAATTACATTCTAAACATCGAAATGCATTTTGTAACAAAATATCTCCATCTCCTAGCTCTGTTGTTTTCTCAGACATAATTTTAGATTTTGAGACATGAAAACCTGAAATAATGAAAGTATGCTATCATGCCACATTTTTATTATGAATTGTAAAAATATAAGCATTGTAAAAAATTAATATAGAGATTAAATTTGCATATTTGCAGGATTTTACAGATTGTGCTATTTGAAGAAAAACAAATTCCAGCTTTTTACCTCTGAAGGAAGCCCTAAGAAGACTTAAGATGGCAGCAGAGGAAGCAGAAATAGATTACCAAGTCTCCAATTTGAGAAGCTCTACAAAGCTGTGCAACAGGCAGTTCCATGGGAGGAGGAGAAAGGGAAGCACAGGTCAGACTCTCCCTGGTCCTTCATTAACAAAGTTAGGAAGCACCAGAACCCATTCCCTAACTCTCTTCTTTCTTGCATCTTGCAAGAAAATAGGAAATGACAGAAGATGTTCTGTACAAAAATGCTGGTCTATATCATACAGGACAGAAACATGACAAGCTATTAACTGTAATCTTTTCAGCTCCATAATTTACCCAAACTAAAAGCTCCCTTCCACGAACCAGAAAATTTAGAGCTGAAATTGAAACATACCAGATTCAGCCACAGAAACACACAAACACATTCTCATGCTTCCCAAGAAAGTTGCATCCTTGCTACAGCAGATGCTAGAGCCAGCATGTAATATGGACCAAACAAAAAAAATCACATTTCTAACCTCTGGTAATTTATTGTATCATCCTTTCTTCTCCTCCCAGTTTTGCCTCAGCTGCAAATTCTGCTGTCAGTTTTGTAAATTAGTTGAAGCTGAGCTCTTCAAGAAGCAGTTTGAAGAAAATCTAAACTCTATGGGCCTCATCAGATACAAACATTGCTCCACTCAGGTCAGGTTACCCTTCCCAGCTGTACGTGGAAATTTGTTTCAACAGCTTATCTTCAAAACTCCTTGAACCTTAAACACACAGCTCTTCCAACAGCTTAAATGTCCGACATCCCACAGGATTATACTCCAATAATCTAATTTCTTTAAAGGATACGTAGAGAAAATATGCAGATAGGTCCTGTCCCAGTCTGAGAGAATAAAAAACACATGACAGTGTTCAGTGATACTATAGATTTTAGATACTCAAATCAATAGTGAAAAACTGTCTCATGGACAAGGGACATCACTCTGTCCTCCCTGAACATCAGCCTACATTAGGCTGCAATGCCAAACTAAGAACATTTATTCAACTTTTTCCTATCGTGAAAAAAAGCAGGTGTTCCACCTCCACGACACAGAAGAAAGGCTTATATTATCTCAGTTTGTAGGAAAATTCTTGTCACAGTTCAGCCAACAAGAAAACACTTCCAGCATGCATGCAAGGGAGATTACAGCATCAAACATATGCACAGTGTAGAAGGGCAGATTACAGAAGTCAGAGGTCACACAGTGTCCCAGCTATAAAAAGGATATATACAAGGATCTTCATTTTATGAACACCCAAAAAAAGAATTTTCACAGTGAACGATATATGAAAGAGACTCCAGAATTTTTCCTTTCCTTTAAGATTAAAGCAATTAAACCTCTCAACCAACAGAACATCAAGAAACGATCCCCTAAACTGACAATTTCCACCTTTCACCACTGTAATTAGTAGAGTAACATAATTATGTGATAAAATACTATTCATATTTTATCCAAGTCTTACACTGGATCAGACATCACACTGAGTTTAGCAGAATTAATGAAGTCTGTCATTACCCAAAGGGTCTTTAGAAAGACAGTATTACCTTCTCTACTGAAAGAACAGCATGCTGAACAACAAATGCCACACACTTTCTCAAATCAATCATCATTTCGGGTTAAAACAGAAAACCTCTGGAAAAAACTATTTTAGCATATCTTCAGTGGCCCTCAACAGGCTTCAAGAATAACAATAAAACCACTCCTGGAATTTAGTACTGAGTAAGCTTTAACTAATATCATAACAGGCATCTCTAACTTTAACTACAAGATTTTGTTCCACAGACAAAATAATTCGCCGAAGTCACCACTTCATACCCCACCTGAAAAAATTAAAGGTTCAAGACTGCAAATACAATTGCAAAATTAATCTCCTACACACAGACTTATCCCAAAATAATGTTTCAAACTACTAATAAAATATAAGCTTGAACTTTCTCTCTGCGCTTCCCCCATAACACCTTTCTATAGAAGAAAATAATTTTTAAAAATTATCTGACAGTCATAAAGAGTCTTAAATGTTTACATCTTACAGCTACCTAAGATACAATGTAAGAAAGCTAGAAAAAGAAGATGCAGTGCACAAACAGACACACAGCATACATCACAACCAACACACAACATAAAAGCATTCTCTCTCACTAAACGTCCCAGAGGCAACTAAAAAGACAATTTATGAATGCCATCTGCTTCTAGTGCCCCGCTAACAATATATTAGCAAAATACATGTATTTCAAAAATAGAAAAAAAAAAAGCCTTACTCTGCTATATCAAGATATCCACAGGAAGCAGCTGCATGTAGAGGTATCCAGCCTTCATTATCTGGTTGATTAATATTTGCTCCATTTTCCACCAGAAATTTCACCATATCTACGTTATCATCTATACAAGCCTATAAAGAAAGAAAGATTTAAGAAATAAGTTCATATCGCAGCTGTTCTACAATACTGTGCATCATTATGCAACACCTTCAGGATAAAAGGCAAGTATTTTCAGGTCTGATGAGGGAATAGGGTTTATTTGTTGGGGTTTGACAACAAGACAGGAAGAATTTGAGAGAAAAGCAGCACGTGTTACAGATTTGTAAAAGAATCCCTAAATAAATTCAAACAGAGTTTAATAAAACCAACAAATATGATTTCCTCAGGCAAATTTGTTCCAGTTTTCTGAGAAGCCATTTACAATCCCCACTGCAACGTTGTTCTCCAGTACGAAGCAGTTCCCTTTACAAAGCCCCCAGGCCCTTGCTTCATCCCAGGCCCAGCTCACTCACTCGAACAGATATCACAATTGAATAAACAGCTACACCATGAAGTAGAATTGTTGTGACCAAGAAATGGGGAACAGTTCGGAAAATAACACCATAACCTGGTTTTAATTATAATGCAGCTGAGACTAAGGAGTATGGAAGGTGATGCCACCTTGCACTTCAACACTCACTGCTGTTTTCGACTGCAGCATATTCTTTATCACCATACATCTTTTAACAGTCTGTTAATCACTGCTGCTTATATACTTACTTGAGGATCAATTTGGCACACTGCAAAGATATTATCATCTGTGCACATCTCTTAATTACCAAGCAAACAGTGTTGCCCAGATGCAGAACTACTGCTGCTCTCCAGATTTCCATCCTGACTGGCTTCTATTTTGCCTTTCTTCTCTGTGTTTGAGTATTTTTCTCACAGGGTGCTCAGTGAGTTTTCTTGCCAACTTCCATACTGCTGCCCTTAAAAGGGCAGAGCAACAGAGAGAAAAGTCCCTCTGCACTTCAGGACAGCAAGGACTCAAAACAGCTAGACCCTGCAAGACTGGTATTAATTTTTTAGCTTAATAAATCAACAATACTACATAACTACAAGGCTGAAATGAGAACTTTTACTGCTGGGCTCCTAAATCCTTCTAAAGAATTATGCCTCTAGTTAAATACAATTAAAGTATAAATTTTACTTTCCAGAACAATTCCACACCAATAAAGACTGGAAATTATATACTGCTTTATTATGTCACAAAAAAAAACGCAACCAAAACTCAATTTCCTGATTTAAGCAATTACGCCTTCCAAGATGAATCCCAAAGCTTTCCCCCATTCTGCAGTGTTGACCGAACAGCTACACTGTGAGAGAGACGTGTTGCTCACTCGTTTAACCAGCCAAATAAAAACAGCAAGAAATTATCCCTCTTTGACCCCACTTGCTTTAGTTAGGTACAAATTTAAGGCTTTGCTTAGAAGGTGAGTCTAATCTGGACTTGTTCACCCATGAACTTGCAGCTAGACTGCAACTACACTGTAGTACATTGCTTTCATTATTTGTTTTTCAATTAAAACCAAGAACACATTATTGAGTGAAAACATTCATAAACCTTCTTACCTTTTCAGGTATTCTTGAAAACTGTCTTCCTAAAGGATTTTTTGAATTATCTTTTTAGTCATATCTATCCCTAAAATCAGCAATTCTTTTAATAAAATAATTTATGAATATACTCTACCAATGAAGGCTACAAATTCCTCAAGCATACTGTCTTCAATTTCTTCCACTTATCATCAATATACAATGCTTATATGCTAGTAACAAGCTTAGAAAGAAAAGAATCGCCTCTCTTTGCAAGGCATTTTATTACTTAAGTGAAAAGGAATTAAATGCAAGACAGCATAGGTCAGTTCAGGAGGAAAACAAATTCAAGACACAGATGTTTACCCTTCACAGAAACATTAACCTAGCCATATTTCACAAATGCCATATATCCAGTTTTTCCGGATATCCAATTTGCCTTACCACTGATATCCTATGCATATCATAATATTCACCATTTTTAAATAGAGCTCTCTTAATATTACATTTCAATGTGTGAAGATATATGCACACTCATATATCTTAAAATCCTCTCAAATTAATAATTAAATTAATAATCTGTGAAAAATTGGTTAGCACTATTAAAAAAAAAAAAGCCAGACCATCTGATTGTGACAGAACCCAACAAAGAAAAATCTTTGCACATTTTTCAAGTATACATAAGAAAAACTGGCAAGACATACTCATAAAAATACTGTTGCTAAGTGAATCAAAAGCTTACACATGCAGCACATTAAAAGACATATGACTAAGTTGGCTAAAAATATTTGACCAAATTTGGGCAGTTTATTGTGCCATACACGGCAAGAATCAGGAGAGCTCAAACACATTTATGTATTACCAGAGATTGCACATTCATGACAAGCAAAGATAAACAATCTCTGAGATTATATAATTAGGATGATAGAAGCATAACTATTAACATAATAAAATAATTTACTTGCATAGGCAAATGGCAGAGTACCAGCACTACTAGCGATCACATTTGTGAGGTTTAAATAATGTCCCTCATCACTGATCATGCAATTTTATTACTGGACAACAGGAGCCACAGAAGCTGAAGTTGACAAAAAGGAAGACCACCGTATAATTTAAAAAATATAACCTTTGAGCTTCCTGAAACAAAGATTACTTAAAAGATGAGCCTTGTACCTGAAATACTTTCTAGAAAACCCATTGTGGCCTCCAAGAAGGTTATTACCTATCTTAAAGTGAAGAAAAGCAAATGCAATTGATCCTATTGCTGAAGAGCACATATACGTGTCCCCTTTTTCCTCTTAACAGCACGACAGGCAGGTGTTTGACAGACCCTATCACTCTCAGCACTTTCCATATAAGACACCTCTGACTATCAGCAAGTACCTTACTTAAGTCAGAAAGCAAAGAAACAAATGTTATAAAAGAAATTTTATCTCAATGTTTTTCCGTTTCTACTCCAATTCTCAGTGTTATCTTCACAGTCACTTCTAAAAGCAATATTTATCAAGTGTCAGAACTGTCTCTGTTGTTAAAGACTGACAGCTCAACCTCAAAAGCAAAGCTTGTCAGAACAGTATGATAAACTTAAAGCAACAGCCTCCAAAAAATTTGCCCTTCTAGATCTCATACTGAAAGTATTACAAAGGAAAAAGCAACGTACATGCATGATGCAAATAACAAGAGTTCCACTGATTTTACAGTGACTGAAAAAGATAAATTCACAAGACTGCACCTGTCCCACTCCCCACAAGGGATAGAGAGCCACAGGCCTTCCTCTTCCACATCTGTTACAATCTTCCTAGGTTAAATCTCGGTTCTTGGCATTCATCTCCCCATCCCCAGTCCTTCCTTTCACAGCCCTTAGCTCCCACCCAGAGCCTCAGTTACTGCTTAGTGAAACAACAGGTCGTGCTGAAGTTCTTTCCGAGTGATTTCAGTAACCACCCCATCTGCAGAGCACGCACACCAGCCAGCTCCTGGGAAAAGCAGAAGCAGAGCATGAGAGCCCACGCTCAAGATTCCCTTCATCCCATGCACTGGTTCTATCAGCCTCATTCCCAGCCTCCTCAAACTGGTAGAAAGACAGCATTTCTGCACGAAGCACTCATTGCCCTGCCAAATTTGATGGAAGTTAGCCAACAGGCCCCAAGCAGAACAACAGCTGGACAGTGGCATCATATAAACCTTGTTTCCTTTGGGAACTAATTTAGAAACTAGGCTAATTAGTCATAAAGGAAACAAAACAAAGCAAAGTTGACAATACAAAGTCTGGTTACCTTTTCTGATAAGAACAGAGATGAAATCTCAAAGGAAGTATATTAAGGCCCAGGAAAGAAAACAGCCTTCTATTTGTACAACAACCTGAAACATGGACTGTGAAGACCAGCAAGAGCACCCGGCTCCCACACAGACCAACCCTAGGTAGGTCCAGCTTGTCCTGGAAACAACATGCTGATGTTAATTGAAATGCTTTAAACTTTTCACAGAAATACTTTCTGATCAATCGTAATGGGGTAACCAGTTTACACGCTAGATTTTAACCGTATTCACCACGACTTCATACCCCAGTGTAAGCGGCATGTGACCCAGCTGGCTCTCCTTGCTATCAGGTGTTAAGTACATAGGTGAAGGGTAGACCTAAGTTAGTAAGTAACCTTAAAAACAGATAGCTTTAAAAGAGATATCGAGAGTGCTTGGTCCCTCACTGAGTAACCACCCAAAGAACTCAGCAGACAATACTCCTGCCCACAAGATAGGAAAACCAAGTCTGTATTAAAACAAACAAACAAACAAACCAACCACCCAAACAGAAATCTTGTAGGGATGAGACAAGCAGTCAGACTATGGTCCCACATATATGCATCAAAGCTAGACAGAATGTACCTTACACTGAACTACAGTTTTAACTGTTTTTCATCAATGATGAGATCTAACGAGGTAAATGCCATCAAATGAGGTTTAGACATTCAATTTTCTACCAGTATTTTCTAGGTAGAGATTAAAACCTACCTTCTACTGTTACCTGATTAGTAACCCGATCTCTTCCACAAATGAAGATTTTTTTACCTCTAATAGCAGAAAATAAATACTGTATATTTAACTTTCACCACCACACTTCATTTTTCCTTACTTACTCCTAGTACAGAAAGGAGTAAAAAATATGAACATGGAATATATATTAGACTTAAGGGATAAAAAAAGCCAAATAGCCATTTTGAATTCATGTGGGAATGCTGAAAACAGGAGAAAGACCTCATGCAGTGGCCTGGAGAATCGTTTACCCCTTCCTTTGTTTTATCTAGTGAACCAAGGCCAGTAAGTCCAATGGAACTAAGCAGGACATTAACATCTTTGTTTTAACATACCCAAGAATCAAATTAAGGAAGGGTATCCATACCTAGCAGCAGAGCTGGTTAAAAGCGGCTCCTGTTCTCTTTACCCTGGATTGCTCGTTCCCTCTGCCATCATATACCACACCCTTATAGCTGTGCTGACATACTTTCCTGAACTGGATCTGAAGTGGATCAGAAAAGCGATTACAATTTAAAATTTAATAAAATAAGGACAGCAATAAAGTATTATCTTTATCTGATTAAACCAGAATGTTTTACTTTGATTATATGAAAACATTTTTTATATTTATTTGAAGAAGCCTTGTTCTGAGATTGTCCTAATCCCATTATCAGACAACCAAAAATTTTAGTGTGAAATTTCACCCGTTACAAACCCTGTGTTAAAGCTTCTTGTTTCAAACTGACACTTTTCAAAGAACACATTTCTAAATTTGCAACCACTTGCACCATTCTCACTTTTAAATTTACAACACATTTTAGCCTACTTTCTTGCTTGCATGGACTTCTAATCACATTACTCACTCTGTCTACCTGGCTGTCCTCCCTCTCTCAGCAATTTCAGCTGAAACCGAGACAAGAATAGAGGTTACAGAGACTTAAATGCCTTGCTTGTTATGAAATGGGGGTTTAAGGATAAGTCCTCTAGAATAACACTGCTACAGAGCAGTTCACAGTATGAACTCAACAATTACCATTTCTACCTGGGTCCTCTCACTGGCCCATCAGTGAGCACTGCATTGCCGGATAATCCCTACAGTCTGAACACTGGTCTCAGTCTGCAATGACTTTTGCCCTCATGAGGAAAGGTTTTGCTAGGACAGGGGACATCACAGTTCACTAGTCACACTATTTATTAATATCTTCTGCTCATCCTCACTGTCC